CTGGTAGTTTTGAACTGCTGACCTTGTGGTTCACAGCCTGATTCGTAACCACTACACTACCATAACAACCTACAAATCTCTATTATCCAAATCCTTTTTATAATGAGGCAGATCACATGACTTTGTACCATAGTTCTATCATATATTGCTACATGATATTGGGCAATTTACTTAACTTCTCCGTGCCTAAGTTTTCTAAATTGTAGAGTGAATAATATTTTCTATCTCATATACAAGCGTTAAATGAAATAGTTCATATAAAGAGCTTAGAACAGTTCCTGCAATATAGTGAAACCAGAATATAAGTTTGTACTGATATTATTATTGCTTATATTGGATATATAATTATGAGCTGTGGGTCAAGTTCACAGGTAATAAGAAAACCATACTGGTAGAATACAATGATGAAACAAGAGGCGAGGAATTTCATGTATAAGGCATAAAATGAAAAGGCTGATGAAGAGGAGACTATGAATGCCATAAGAATCAACTAAATAGTTGATCAGTATATCACTTGCAAATTTCACTCCTGCTTCCCACACAATGTTTTCTGTATAGATGGGAAACAGGCAGTTTCATTTCAGAAAATGGTCTGTTCACTTAAGTTTATTCTTTCTCTCTTTCTTTAGTATAATTGATTATCTTTTAAGTGGCTCAGATGTATTATCTCATTTAACATTTCCAACAACCCTATTAGTTAATGTTACTAAAACTTCAGTTTACAGATAAGGGCATTGAAGCACAGAGATGCACTTCAAATTATAAGGCCAGTAATTAAGTGACAGAGCTGGCCTTTGGACTCAGGAAGCCTGACTTCAAAGCCTTGTGACTTAACTGCAAAGTTACTTCCACTTAAGTTTCATGAGGTCTTATAACCTTTTAAGGTTAACTGATAACAAAGCAAATAAAGGAAGAAATTCTTATAGCCAACTTCCTTAGTGCTTAACCATGCTGCTACCTTATTAATTTAGACCCATTTTTGCATTCATATGACAAGGCATGCAACTGTCTAAGCAGATATAGAAACTGGAGAAGTCAAATTTAATGATCAACTTCATTTTAAGCCAATATACAGGTATTAGAAAAACACATTTTTGTTTCATTCTTGATTTCTTGAGGAGAAAGTAAGGATTTGCTGTTTTAGGCTCACTCAGAGGTGGTTTGGGTTGCTTAGAAGCTACAGTGTACTAGATGTTTTTATTTGTTTGACTAAAATGGAAGCGATTAACCTGAGGCCTTGAAACCACATATTGTTTTTTTTTTAAAACAGCACATGTAACTCTTGAATTAAATATAAAAAATGCTACTGTAAATTGTCTTGATGCTTTGTCCTTTGAAAGATGTAAAGTGTTACCAAGAGGTAGAGACATAAGAGGGAGTTCTAAAGAACTAAGAACAAAGATAGACATTTCACAGAGAAATAAGCACTGGACTGCTAATCCCAAGGTCAATTTACTAGCTGCTCCCTGGAAATCCTATAAAAGGTCACTATGAGTCAAAACCAACTTGACGGCACTTAACAACAACAAAATATTATACGCTACCTATATATACATACTATGGAATCCTGGTGTGGCACTGAGGGTTAATGCACTGGACTGCAAGTTCAGTTTGAACAGCAAGGTAGGTTTGAACAGCAAAGTAGGCAGTTCAAGCTCACCAGCCATCCCTTGGAAGCCCTATTCAGGATCACTATGAGTCGGAACCTACTCGATGGCACTTAACAACAACCTATATACTATATGGACTCCTGGTGTGGTGCTGTGGGCTAATGCGTCAGACTGCAATGTCGTTTGAACTGCAAAGTTGGTGGTTTAAGCTCACCAGCTGCTCCTTGGAAACCCTATACAGGGTCACTATGGGTCGGAATAGACTAGACGACACTTAACAACAACAACAACAACATATATATACTATATGGTATATATACATATATACTATATGCTCTGGTAGCATAGTGATTATGAGTCAGGCTGCTAACCTCAAGGTCAGCAGTTTGAAACTACCAGTTATTCTGGGGGAGAAAAAGTTACAGCTTCGGAAATCCTATACAGGTCACTATGAGTTGGAACTGACTCCACAGTACACAACCACCATCCATACTATATATATTTTTGTTGTTAGGTTGGTTCCAACTCATAGAGACCGTCTGCACAACAGAACAAAGCACCGTGGGGTCCTGCACCATCCTCACCATTTTGTTAAGCTTGAACCCATTTCTGTCACCACTGCGCCAATCCTATGTAATTGTTGTTGTTAAGAGCCGTGAAATCAGTTCCAACTCATAGCTCCCCTGTATAGGATTTCCAAGGAGCAGCTGGTGGTTTTGAACCTTGGACCTTGTGGTTCACAGTCCAATGTTGATCCTCCAATGCTACATCAGGAGGCCATACTATATAATAGTACTGATAGAAATCAGAGTTGTTATAAAAATTAAATAAGATATAATAAATGCAAAGAGTCTATTGCTTTACCTGTTCATAGCAAATATTCAATACAACTTTTAAAAATTGTTGGGATTTAAAAAGTATTGTTGTTGTTATTAAGTGCCGTCGAGTTGGTTCCGACCCATAGCGACCCTGTACAGGGTTTCCGAGGCTGTAAATCTTTATGGGAGCAGAAGGCCTCCTCTTTCTCCCGCAGAGCAGCTGGTAGTTTCGAACTGCTGACCTTGCAGTTTGCGGCCCGATTCGTAACCACTACGCTACTTTTATAAACAAATATTCCTTATATTGAGAACTCCTAATTTTCACCCAGGCTGGTCACTGCTGTGCTAAAAGCTTGGTCATTCCTTTCTTACATGAACATTTTATGAATGACTCACCTCCATCATTGTCCAGGTTATCTCCACAAAGCATTTCCATGACAACATTGCAACCTATTCCACTCCAGCCCACCTGACATACACAGTGCCAACCATTTTGATCCAGGGTACATCTCCCATTTCCAAAGCAGAGCCCTGGACAGCCATCTGAAAAGATAACAGAGAGTACCAATCACAGAGATATCAGGGTGGGATTGGCCAGCAATGATGTATCAGTCTACAGGTAAACATCTAATCATCTGGGTTCCACTCAGATGAGGTGTTGAATAAATGGAAGAGGAGCTTTCTTGCTTGCAAAACCTTCTCAGGGAACTTGTTATCCCTTACTTGGCAGTGCTTTCCCTTAGAGAGCCAATTAAACATTATTAATGCTAACCCCAATTCCCAACCTCCGGTTCACCTAGGACGAAAACTATGGTAGGGACAAGAAATGTTTTTGTTTCTTTTTGTTGTTGTTGCTAAATGTATCTCCTAATCTCAATCAAAACTGAATGGATAATGCTGTGTCTAGTTATGGCCAATAAGTTGGAAAAGGACAGGAATTTATATGACGAGAAACTTTTCCCTAACTATAGCTAGCCTGTGCTGATTTTTCCCTCGTGATATATTGCTTCAGGACTCAACTATGTTGGTATACAGTTCAGACCATACCATTATGTATTTGCCTTAGAAATGTGCTTCAGTTGCTTTGCATCTCTTCATCTAATCTCTTCAAGAGGCTAAGGATTACATTTTTTTTTAACTTCTCTGACATCTTTCTCACTGAAGCTAGGATAATATTATGAATGTAGTAGGGTCTCAACAAATGTTTATGGAATGAATACATGTCAGATTTAGTTTCAGAATACTAGAAGATAGCTGGAGTGATATATTGAGGAGGAAGCTGTTGAGCTTAAAGAATGATAAAGCACATACACTGACAATGGCCCTTCTTCAGACTTTTCATTTCTGAGTTGCCCTACTCTTCATATCAGTAGTGCAGAGTTGGGCTATTCCAAAGGGCAACTAAGCATGTGCCAAGTGCTCAGTGGATGGGTGAATGAAGACAGCCATAATGGCATATAATATCTGAAAAATTTCCCAATACAATACAGGACCAAACCTGGATTTTACTGGAAATAGTACAATCAATATTCTCTTCCTTTACTGTTTTTGAAAGAAAATTCCAAAAGTATAAAAAGCAAAAGAATTGATATATATTTTTTCATCTGTAGAAATAACCCAGAATTTCTTCCATATGGGTTCCAAAGCAACTATCAACCTGACCAAAAGAAGTAAACATTAAAAACAAGTGACTGATGGCTGATGGCCGACACTCGAGTCCTGGTGTGGAGCTGTGGGTTAATGTGCCAGACTGCAAAGCCATTTAAACTGCAAGATCGGCGGTTCAAGCTCACCAGTTGCTCCTTGGAAACCCTATACAGGGTCGCTATGAGTCGCAACCAACTCGACGGCACTTAACAACAAATATATACTCTCTATCTATCTATCTATCTATCTATCTATCTATCTATCTATCTACTGATCTATCTATCTCATGTCCCCAAGAAGTAGTCCAGGATAGACATAGATAGATTTGAGAATGGAAATTTATGTAGTTCCATTGTGATAGATACACAATGGATAAGGAGAAAATAGGGCTAATTTGGGACACATTCAATCTTCTAAGGCTGAATGTGTGAAAGGCACTAGAATTTTTGATAGACAAACCCTTGCTGATTATGTCAGCAGCAGATCCCTGAGTGGGATGGATGATGGAGTAGTCCTAGGGGGATGTTGCTGTCCTTGTAAGGATACTGTCTATGAGTTAAGAAATATATTGTTATGTTAAAGAAAAAGGCCAGATGTCCTTTTATACCTCATTGAATAATTGTCTGTTTGTGTTATAAGCACACACACAAAAAAAACTCAACACACAGACAAAGAAAAACAATCATTATATGCTATGGCAAAAGTGATTTTTTGATGTTGGTAATCAAATTACTTTATGACTTGGTTATCAATGCATAACTTGACAATATTATACCTAAACAAGATTGTCATGGTAAAGAGAAGAATAAAACACAACAAACCACCACCCTTCCTTTCCCACATGCATATCTTCTCTTTAAGTTATTTTTCTGTGATATAACTGGTGAGAAAAATCTTACCTCGGACTGCATCTAAATAGTGAGCTAAAAGAGGAGAAAAAAGAGTGATTGAATGAATTTCTGGGAGACCAAAGCTGTACAACATGTACTAATGGTTGCCTGTTGCCTGGGAGGAGAACAGCAAACTGTGAACTACTGAAATGCCTGCAGCTCAAAAGTTGGTACATTGGCCTGTGTAGTTTATGAATAATATTTTCTGTGGGAAAGATATTAATGGCTTTTCTGCAAGAGACTCTATTAGGCTTCCTAAAAAAGTGTCATATTTCATTAAAAGTGTAAGAACTGCATTTTTACATTTCGGTAATAACTTCAGTGAAAGAACACTAGCTTGAACTTCTTATTAGTAATATCTTTAGAAGGGAGTTCTGGAGTAACCACCTTTGGTAATCATCACAATATTTAAATCCTCTTATGTGAAGGCAATAAACTTACCGTAGTGCAAGAATGTAATTACTTAAGCTGCATGTGAATCTCACCCCTCACCACCTTTTTAATGAATCTTAAATATTTTCCACAGTCACAGAACAAGACTTACTGTACCTTTAGTAGAGTAGTAATATAGTTTATTAAGATTGTATGTTACATATATTATATATATTATACATTACTTTGACAGATTCCAACCATTATAACAAAATACTTTCACCTAAAAATGAAAGTTGTAGTACAGTCTAGTGGGGAGGGGGTGGAAGCCCACAAACAATGAATTGGCTATCCAGAAGTCCAAACTTGCCTTTGCTCTGTATGAATTTTCTGTGTGACCCAGATTCTTTGGCTGAATAATGGGAATGGTACTTGTCTCTTTGTATAAGCAGGAAACCTTTGTGGCAGATACATATGTATGTCAAAGACTTGATTATTATTATCTTTCAGAAAAATAATGTTTGATAACAGAAACTTTTATTAGATTTTTTTTCAGAAAGTAAGGTGTTTGGTAACTGAAACATTTATTACTATTAATGTCTTTTATAGTGTTGAGCTCACATATAGGATAGTAATTATATAGACATTCTCCCTGTACCATTTTGAAGACCGTTGGCCATATATCCTCCCAGAGAGTAACCTAAATTTTTGTGCAACTGGTGACAAGGGGTGAGACAGAGTAGATGCTTCAATGCAAACACTCTACACTACCATATAAACAGATAGTTCTAATGTTGGTAGGTCAGAAGTATTTTCCTTATATACATTAAAGACAGCCCCTAATGATATCAAATAGCCCCTGTTAAAGTAGGTCCATTTAATGAAATTGCCTCTAAGTGCTTTCAACCAAAACAGCATATACTTTTCAAAAGAAAAAATGGGCAGTGAATGTTACCTTCATAACAAAAGCACTTCTCTTATTAATTAATGATCCTTTATTCCAATGTATAATCTTTCCTTTGAGTCCCTCAAAAAACTTGAAACCAGAAAATATAAGGAGCACTAACATTATGATAAAGTAAATGACTCAAGAAATAAGTCCAATATTATCAACAGAATTGGAAACTTCCCAGTTCACAAAGCTGTCGAATTTGTGGCCAACCCTTCTTGTCATCCTCTCCTCCTATGTCAATTTCTACTAAAAGCCTGGTTATTGACCCACTAGACTGTCTTTACTTATTCAATGAACCCAATTTACTTTAGTTAAGTATGGTGGTACTTACCAATTGTGCAGTGGTCGCCTTCCCATCCAGGGCTACACTCACATTTTCCATCTTTGCATTGGCCATGCTCAGCACAGTGAGAGTGACAGGAGCGTTCCTCACATGTTGGTCCTACCCAGCCTTCTTCACACTGGCAAATTCCCCTTGAACAGACTCCATGGTTACCACACTCCATGGTGCAAAGCTCTATTGGGAAGTCAAAGAAGACACACTTTATTAAAATCTGCATCCACTGTCTTCAAGGGACAGTAGAATGACCAAATCCTCCAATGTATATATTTTAATATATAAACAATATATAAAGATTCTGGTATTTGAGTGAACTTCCAAAGATCTCTGTAAAAGGTGGAGTTAAGTACAAAGGTCTTCAAAAAGTATGTGGAAAAGTGGAATTAAAGGTGAATGGCATTTTTCCATGAACTTTTTGAATGTCCCTCATGTAAAAGCATAAAACTCTACATTTAAAACATTTTGAGAAGTTCATGAAATGACAATGGTATTAAAGGCTTAGAAATAAAGTCATAGCCAAACAAATGTCAAGTGCATTTTATTAAAAAATCTTCAAGATCACAGATAATGTTATAGGGATTTTATGATACTATAATAAATCATTGGAACAAACAAACAACCATTGCAATAGTGTCTCAACTTCATTCAAGAAGAAAAGTTCTATAATTGGAAGGATGATAACTTTCTAATAAAATTCATAACATATAAAAGGTAAAGCTGTGAGTGATGGCAATCAACTAGGTTCCCTGCTCATACTAACAGTATTTGCATTTGTTTTAAGCACTTAAAATGACACTTTGTTGATTAAAATGAACAGTCATCATATCTTGAGATGCCATTTAATATTTAGCTAACATAATGGTGCTGCACACAGGCTCTGTTGAGGTTCTCTTCTCTTTTCCATTATTTTTTCTTAAGAGATGTTGAACATTAGTAAAATCATTACAGTAACAGCATCCAAATAAAAGCTTGGCAAGACTTTTTCTTGATCAAATTCCATTGCTGGAGAATAAGTGGGATAAAACCTTATGGGGTGAAAAAAAGCTTATGGATAAAAGCGCAAGATTTTGAGGCAATTAGGCATATACCTTTAAAGAAAAAGAGGGTGTTCTGGAAGTTAAGTTGCCTATCTTTCATAGTCTCAAATTCAGAAATAGCTTTTATGTATTAAAGTAAATGAACTGTTGTTGTTTTTAGGTGCCATCGAGTTGGTACCAACTCATAGCAACCCTATGCACAACAGAACAAAAAACTACCCAACCTCACAATTGTTGCCAATCCATCTCATTGGGGGTCTTCCTCTTTTTCTCTGACCCTCCACCTTACCAAACATGATATCCTTCTCCAGCGACTGGTCCCTCCTGATAATATGTCCCAAATATGAGAGAAAAAGTTTGGCCATCCTGGCCTCCAGGGAGCACTCTGGCTGCACTTCTTACAACATAGATCTGTTGGTTCTTTTGGCAGCCCATGACACTTTCAATATTCTCCTCTAACACAATTCAAAAGCATCAATTCTTCTATGGTATCCCTTATTCACTGTCTAACTTTCACATGCATATGAGGTAATTGAAAATACCATGGCTTGAGTCAGGCGCACCTTAGTCCTCAAGCTCTTCAACACTTAGTCTTTGCTCTTCAACACTTTAAAAGGTCTTGTGCAGCAGATTTGCCCAATGCAATAAGTCATTTGATTTCTTGACTGCAGCTTCCATGAGTGTTGATAGTTGATCCAAGAAGATTAAAGTCCTTGACAACTTTAATCTTTTCTCCATTGATAAGAATGTTGTTTATTGGTCCACTGGTGAGGATTTTTGTTTTCTTTATATTGAGATGCAATCCATGCCTAGGCTGTGCTCTTTGACCTTCATCAGTAAATGTTTTAAGTCCTCTTCACTTTCTGCAAGCAAGACGGTATCATCTGCATATCACAAGTTGTTAATGAGTCTTCCTCTAATCCTGATACCAAGTTTTTCTTCATAGAACCCAGCATCTCGGATTATTTGCTCAGCATACAGGTTGCATGAGTATGGTGAAAGAATACAACCCTGTCGCACACCTTTCTTCACTTTAAACCATTCAGTGTTCCCATGTCTTGCAAACAACTGCCTCTTAGTCCATGTACAGATTCCTCATGAGCACAATTAAGTGTTCCGGGGTACTCATACTTCGCAATGTTGTCCATAGCTTGTCATGATCCACACAATCAAAAGCAACAATCAAAAGTCAATAAAGCACGGATAAACATCTTTCTGATATTCTCTGCTTTCAACCAAGATCCATCGGACATCAGCAATGCTATCCCTTGTTCCATGGCCTCTTCTGAATCCATCTTGAACCTCTGGAAGTTCTCTGTCAATGTGTGCTTGCAGCCATTTCTGTATTAATTTAGTAAAAGTTTACTCACATGGGATATCAAAGATACTGTGCGATGATTTCCACATTGCGTTAGGTCACCTCTCTTTGGAATGGGCACAAATACAGATCTCTTCCAATCAGTGGGCCAGATAGTTGTCTTCCAAATTTCTTGGCATAGTTGAGTGAGTGCCTTTTGTGCTGCCTCACTTTCTTGGAAGATTTCTATTTTGATTCCATCAATTCCTGGTGCCTTATTCTTTGCCAATTCCTTCAATGCCCCTTGGACTTCTTCCTTCAGTATCATTGGCTCGTGATCATATGCTACCTTTTGAAATGGTTGAACATCAACCATTTCCTTTTGGTACAGTGACTCTGTGTATTCCTTCCATCTTCTTTTTTTTAAATGTTTTATTGTGAATTATGTGATAGTTTACATGGGAGAACATTAGTTTTACATTCTTCCTATTGTATATCATTTCATTGCCATGGTTACAATCCCCTCCATGCATCATCAACCAACCACAGCCTGACCCTGGTCGTCAACAAACAGCCCTTCTCCCTCTATGGGTCCAAAGTCCTCAGCCGCTCCATCTCTCTACATCGTTGTCTCTGCCTCCATCTCTAGTATCACTGCTTCTCTGGGTAGGGTACCGCTCTCCGCTCTTCTCCCTTGATG